CGATGTCCTCCTGTTGCTTAGAAACTGTCCTGAGGAGACAACTTTAGGGTCAATGACATATCATTCACACCATATAAGGAGTAAATACAGCAGTTTTCAAGTGTAATAACATTCCTTTCGATCATATTGAGCATAGACGAATGCAACTGTGAGCTTTAGCGATTAGCCCGTTTCAACAGGACCGTAATCCCGATGTGTGAGACAGCAGGGTGCTGCCACTAGTGTTGTAATCTGTGGTTTACTTCCTCCTAACATTTCAGTATGCTTCCAGTATCTATCCTCTGTGATTACTGGCTCAGTATAAAGAGTCAGCAGTGTTTTCACATCACCTATCCATCCTCCATTTAGTCACCCAAAGCATGTAGTAAATACTCCTGACGTTTATTCATCTTCTCTGAAATTCAGACAAATTCCCGCTTGATAACATTGAGCTTCTGTCTGTGTGTGCCAGTTCCAGCCACCAAGTTGAACACCATCACCAAATCCAACCTGGGTCATTGTGTCAGCAAGTACGACCTGCTGGTCTGGTTTGAGATCAGCGAGCTAGAGCCCACTGGAGAGTGAGTATCCACCTGGAGTGTTATATTCCCACACAAGCTTTAAAGAAACAATAAAAATTATCTCCACAAAGAATATTATAAATTGGGATGTTGTGTCACCTTCCTCCCTCCATGCACAGGTACATCCCAGCCATCGTGGATCACAGTGGAGGCCTGCCCTGCCACGGTACCTACCTGCTGCACCAGGTACAGGATTGATCCACATGTTCTTTTCTTATTATTCACACATTGGTAACTGCTTCCTTTTGTACACAGATTGACTGAGTTGAATATCTTCTTTTAAAGCATAATGTTGCTCTAGCTGTGCTCACTGTGATCTTGAGCTCCTGTTATGTTTGCTGCAGGGGATCCAGCGGAGGATCACAGTGACCCTCATCCACGAGAAGGGCAGCGAGCTCCATTGGAAAGATGTTCGTGAGCTGGTTGTAGGTGAGCAGCCTGCCTTTACGGTCTAGTCGTGCTATACCTCTCTGTAGAAAACAAAAAACCCAAAGCACAGAAACAATGTTTTATAGTGTTTGTGTGCTTTTGATAGAGGAAGACAGGACAGAACATCATTAAAGGGATTTGACTTTGTGAGATCACACTGAAAACACACCACTCGGTTCTGTCTGAGACATTTTCAGTCTGGAAAGATGAATCTGTCGGGCTTTAGGCTGCTTCTCACTTTAAGCAGTTCATGCTGTAGCTGTAGCTGATGGACCAAATAATTACATTTCATATTTTAGACATTCAGCTGCTGACTCTGAAGCCAACAGGGCTCTTGAGTGTGGATGATTGTGTTGGTACTGGATGCTGTGATAAAACAGCTGTTAGTGGACAAACTGCCTGCTGGCTGAGCTTCTCTATTGAGAGCTATTCCAACACAAGAAGGTCTTATAACTGTTGTGTGGATCTGCCTCACCAGGTCGTATCAGGAACAAGGCTGAAGTGGATGATAGCGCAGCCGATGCTGTCCTGTCCCTTAACATCATTTCTGCCAAGAACATCAAGTCATCCCACAACAACAACAGGTAGGTGAAACTCCCACACAGAGTCAGTTTGAGTGAGAACACACTAGTCACAACATTTGAAGGTGTAAAATGTTTCCATTCACAGATCTTTGAAGCTTTCTTGTTGCCTTCTTGCTTGTATTCTCTTCAGTTATTATCATGAAACACATTTATTTTTCTTTAAAAAAGCCAATGTGTTACATTGTTACACTGTGTTCTTTTGTCATGATTGAGTTCCTGCCATGTAAAAAAAATCATTCGTTGACGCTCTGTAGTAACTGTAGTAACCTTATCAGTTAAAATCTATGCATGTATCCATGTCTGTATATTCTCTGAAGCCACATTGAAGTCATTGCACGACCTTTTCCATTTTCGCTGCTGTTACTTTGCTTCATTGTCTCTGTTGCCTGACTCTTTGTGCTTCTCTCTCTTTTTTTTTTTTTTCTGTGCGCTCTCTTTCTTCCTCCTGCCGCGGCTGGACTCATGATTGTGCTCAGGCTTTCTATTGATAAGGATATTGATAGGTACCAGCAACCAGAGAACATAAGGCTCCTTCACTGAAAGACCTTTATGCTTCTCATTAGTCCCATAGACTCGTAGAAATAAGCTCTCCACAGTTTGTGTGTGCTCGTGTGTTGCATAAGATCTGTCTTCATTCATGCCTGTTGATATTAAGACTCCTAAGCTCCAAACCGGTAAAAGCAGTCTTTGGAGGCAACACCGTTTTTTAGTACTTTTCTGTATTTGTTTGTGATTGTGTGACACTGAACCACGGTGCTATGTATATCCTCTGTAACACTCAGATGTTTCCAGATCAATGTTTTCCCCCTCAGCTGTTTCTCACTATAGAGTCTTACCTCAGTAACAATGAGGCCAATGAGGCACCAGCAGAGCATATCTGGCTCTCAGTCTGTGTCTGATAGTGCCCCCTGCTGTCAATAACAGGAACAGCGTAGCCTTGTATAGAGCTCATAGTGATGGTCTTAAGATTGCTGCTGCAAGGCAGTAATTTGGATCCACTTGTGCTGTATGTTCTGAGCATATGCAGTTATGTGAGCTCTCAGGTTTTATGTATCAGGACATAATTTAAAAACAATCAGGTCCTTAGTAGGTCTTAATATGAGGTAAACCTCACATGAACAACAATACATAACACATTATACCACGTCATTATTTATTTAACAAACACTGAGCCTAAATTCAGATGTGGTGAGTACATCCAAGCCTACTTTCATAATTATTTAACAGGGTCAGTATTAGCCAGGTGCTAATTAAATGCACTAGATCATCAGTAACCACGACTGTCAGTTTGCTGGCGTATTCAGGAGAGTGGTGACATACTGAGGAGGAGAGAAGCAATTGTTGTTACCCATGAATCTGGGAAGGCTTTGAAGTCGATCATTTTACAGCAAGAAAGATTATTCACAAGTTTGGAAACAGTCTTTGATTTTTTTTTAATCATCCCAGGAGTGGACATCCCAAAAAATTCACCACAGATATTAGAGGCTCTACAGGCCACAGTTAGCATGCTTAATGTTGGAGTTGATGGCAGTGCAATTAGAAAAAAGCTAAACAAATATGTTTGGAAAGGCTTCCAGGAGAAACCCTTTTCTCTCTAAATACAACATGGCAGCATGGGTTCAGTTTGCAGAGTTGAAAACCTAAGCCCTAATGCACAGCTTCAAGATTGGTGAAAACCAAACACAGCATATCAGCACAAACACCTCGTACCAGTGGTTTTGCACGGGTGATGATTATTTGGGCAAAGTGTCCAGGTCACTGAGTGAGCCATGAAGTATTCTAGAGTCAAATGAGATCATCGTTGGGTCAGTGACTCCAGAGCGCAGCAGCAAAGCTACAACAGAGTGGTGCTGCAGTGGCTCAAAGTCCAGACTTCAATATGATTGACGTGCTGTGGCGGGACGTTAAGAAAGCTGTGCATTAATACATTTCTGCAAACTTCAATGAACCGAAGCAATATTGTAAAGACAAGTGGGTCAGAAATACCTCCACACTGCTGTGAGACACTAATAAAAAATGATTACCTCAAGTTTTTGCTGTTAAATTTGGTTCCATCAGCTGCTGAATCACAGGATGTACTTGGTTATAGTCATTTGTGCATTTTGGCATGGTTTTAAATAAATAATGATGTGGTGTAATAATCTAAATCTAGAACCTTAGACTGCTTTTCACGTGTCTGTAAATGAATTTCTTTCTTATCATTGTCCCGATTGGTGTCGGCTGACACTTGACACTCTGTGGCTCCTGATTTGTCTGTTGTCAAGGTCTCACCTCAGTGCGATTCCTCACGTTTTGTCATGATTAAAGGATGAATGTGAACACCGCTTCAGTCACTGTGTTCACTT